TAAGGGAGGGGTTGGCTTCGAAATCCACGGTCAAATACTTCGGATTTGCAAGATTTGAGAAGGATTTGAGAGGGGGGGGAGAGGGGAAGAGAGGAGGGGCGCAAGGCTAAGGGTTTGTGTGGGGTGGGGTGTGTGGGGTGGGATGGGAGAGAGGGTGGGGCCAGCCTAAGTGGAACACAGACTGTGCAGCGCCCAAGAGCTAGGCGCTGCACATTACAAGTGTGGCGCCTAAGTCTGAGGCGCTGCAGTGCTGTCTGTGGGGCCGCAACTGGACCAGGGCTGCCACGCTGGCATGAGGTGCGACGCCCAAGAGAGAGGCGCTGCATAGTAGTGTGTGGCGCCACACGAAAGGATCAGCAAAGTGAAATTTTTTCGGAACAAGGTCAGTTTATGATTTGATTTGGCCCTCAGGTCAAATATGTGATTTCTGCCCCGGCGTGCTACTCCCTCCTGCCGCCACCACACGGCGCAGCATGTTGCCGCTGCCCCACAAGCACATGTCGACCGATCATGGCTGCATCCCTAATTAAATTTACAGACAGACAGACATTCTGAGTTAAATTTACCACCATGTTATGGGCTTGGCGCCAAAATATGATCAGCGCTACTTGTGGACTCGGCCACTCAGGGAGGCGTTGGTCGCCACTCACAGTCACAGGGAAAGGGACATGGAGGAGAAAACAAAGACACCCATCACGTGCAGTCGTCGTCGATGATCATGATGATGATGACAGCAATGGAGAGCCGGCTAGTAGTTTATAATAACATGTATAACTATAATGATTTGGTAAGTATATATGGGTAACTAATGTTTGTACCACTACCTGGCTGGTTATGTGCATTACATGTGAGGTGAGGTGGTGCAAGTGAGTGTAATTAACTTAAACTTGTCAGGTTCCACTGCTAGGGCTGCTGCTCAGCTCATCATACCCAACCTCCCCTGAAAAATGAGCTTGGATCGTCCCTCCCACGGTAGTGAGAGCTGTGTGTCGTGTCATCTGGCGTTGCAGCACTGCGGCCTGCCTTGCCGTAGGTTCTCCCAGAGGCACAGCATCTGCCCCGGCGACTGGTAGTGCGCCGTGAGGTAGTCGTCGGCGCAGCCCGCCTGGCAGAACCGCGCGCCGTGGACGTACTCCACGCCGCCGGCGTCGAGCTGCCCCACCCACATGCCCACGCTCACGTCCTCCATCTTGAACAGCTGCCATGGCCAAAGCAGAACGCAATCATTCGTTTGTTAATACAAGGTGATGTACTATGTATTGATGATTGATGAACGGATACAACTTTTGGCTTTTCTGGTGTGGTGTGGTGTGGTGTGGCATGGGCCATCTTTTCAGCCCACGCATGATTGGGCCCGTGCCGTTTCCCCCGATTTTCGATCAGAATCGGCATCATTCACCCAAACTTTAAACCAGGCCAGCCAGATGGTGCCTGGCTCTTGAGTGCTTGTGTGGAATGTGGAATGTGGAATGCAGTCACTACATGGGATCCCAATTCCCAGTGCCACTTGATACGCAATGAAAACAGAGAGGAAGAAAGGTGTTGGGTGGGCGCAGAGAGCTTACATTCAGCCGGCCCTTCTCCATCTCCGACGCGACGAAGCCCGCGATGTCGGAAGAAACAATGTAGCCAGCGCCGTCCGCGTAAGTCGGGTACGTGTCCCTGGGCCACTCCTGGAAATTTAGCGCAGAATGTTACCAAAGAGGTCAGCACGGCAGCACAGGACGGAAGTCAATAATGGTGCACCAATGATTGCACTAACGACGAATGTAGTTAGCCAGCATGATTACATGAGACAATACCATATTCATGTGGGCAGCGCATACCAGTCGTTTATGTGGTTCTCATGTACTATTATTTGGCGCATCAAGAACATGAACACGCTGTCTGTTTTGCTAATTCCAGGAACTGTAATAGGACTGATGAGTGGTGACACAAAAACATGCTGTTCATGAGCAGTAAACGTCTGAAATTGACTCAGTCGACAAAAAGTTTGTACAACACTGGTTTGGTATCTTCTTTCTGATGAAATTTAATGCAGCTCCTATGTACTGGTTTGTCTTTCTACGTCAGTTATGAATGTTGTCACGGGGGCATTTAATTACTTTTGATCACTTGAGTAAAAGATATGCAAGTAGCCTGAGAGTCAATCTGCATAATTTCAAGATAACATTTGCAAAAATAGGAGGTTTTTTTTTAGTAGATCACTTCACCTCATATGAGACGGCCCATTTTCCTTCTCGGAGTGGTCTGTGGTAGTAGTTCATGTTCCCCATATAGAAGCTTTTACCATCTGGGACTTTTTTTATTTCAGCCATAACTGAATCAAGTCTAACGAATGTATCATCATCGCACTTCATGACGTACTTCGCAGAAACAACACGAGCCTTCAAGGACAAAGAATATATATAAATAAAAAGAACATTGAGATTGCATAAGAACTGTCTGAAAGGTAATTTAAATTCAGTGTGACTATGTTAAATCCACTCCTTATGCTACATACCGCATACTCGCAGATGGCAACAGTCTTAAGAACAACCAGGTCGTAGCTATCCACAAAGGGCACAATGATAATGTCCCCGAAGAAATCCGCTTCTTTCTTCAAATCTTCATTAACTTCCCTTCTTCCATTCTGCCCTGAAACATGGTTTTGTTATATATCTTTTCATGGGAAGAAGGAAAGAAAACTACCGGAACTAAATGGCAGGACAATAGATTACCAAGGCGACAAAAAACCGAGCCATAGTACTGGATGAATTTCGTACTGCAGACATCCATGATCTCCTCACAGCCATGCGCTCGGTGAAGTGGCTTCCTGCTGAAAGAATGCCTATGAACAGCTCCACAGGTTCTTCAGGAGGAGGGGCTTTCAGTTCGGCCAGCAACTCCAGATTTCTTTCCATAATGTTAGGATGGACCGCGGGTAATGTACCAGCAAACATTGATTCAACCTCGATATCACCATTTGCTTGCACGGTAGCGACATCCTCGAGATCAAAGCCCTTGAAAGAACAAATGTAATCAATGAATTGGCGCATCAGCAAATCTTGCCAAAAAAACAGTGGGGAGGAGCTGATCTACGTCCTAACCACATTTTCAGTTGAAATGCTAATCTACATCCTAACCACAGCAAAGATGTGCACGGATTCCAGCTAGGAAGGATAGAAGCACACATTGTAGGACAATTGCAGAAGGAAACAGTACTTACAATGCGATAAGGAAAAGACGCGACATGCCTCCCATCAACTTGAACATGGTAACCTTCCAAACCGGAGCTTATTGTTAGAGCAAACAATTCACCCTCCACAAAAGGATAAGGCCAATCTATGAAACCACTGCTGCTCTGTCCAGCAACACGGTTACGCAGCAACATACTCTTCAACTCCTCAAGTGTGCCACCAGTGTTCCAGGTCCATTGCTCACATGTTACCAATCCATCAACTGCGCCACAGGAAAGCAATATAAGAAAATCTCGCGACGATCACCAGCTAAGCTAGCACACGTTAAACATTTTCTCATCAGCTCAAATTATTAGTAGAGCTCTCTTATTAGTAATTAGAATACCAAATGGACGTCCGGTGGGAATCACTAGCCCTAAAGCATTTGCAAGAAATTTATCATCAGGTTATCACATAGATATCCCACCAAAGGGATTTCCATGGGAACCATGTAAATACCAAATATATTCCAACTATATAAGGAGAGGTCGGGCAGCAGTACCGCACATGTTATTGTCCTCTAGTCCTATTTTAGTTACCAAAGTCAAAGTAGAAAATGGATGAAATTTGCCATGAAACTTTGTCGGTATGTGTAATGACAGGGTATGAACGATCTAGTAATGGTACATCATCCACTGCTGATCATCAATCTACTTAGATTTTATAGATGATAAATGCAGTTGTCAGCCACATGCCATCCGACTCAGCTCAAAACTATCTGAAATATGATCTCGGGGGTTATGTGAAGCTTGGCAAGTTCACGGTTGAAAATTGAGCATCTGCAATAGTTCAGAACTCCAGAGTTCAAAATTGAGCATCTTGAAGTCCTCCTATCTATTCATAAGGAGGAGAAATATAAGCATTTAGCGGGCATCATACAGTTGGAAATGAGAACATGAAGACTGCCGTTAGAAAAACAAAGAAACTATCTAGATCCAAGGATGACCTATACTAAACGTGACAATGTCGCAAGTTCATTTTCCATATGATGGAATAGTAACCGGTAAAAACGTAAGGTGTCTATATGGATCCTAAACACAAACGAGGCAAGGAGGCAATTCTGCTGCGTAAACAGTTATTACGCCTTACAGGTTCTCGGGCACATTCAATTGTTTCACTGTTGGAAAAAACTGACATCCAGCAAAAATCCCTACATAACTCTGCTAAACTCGAATACACTCGTCGTTCTCCCCTCTTGTTATTACCTCTGGAAATGTTGAAATGGCACGGTGTACATCAATGCCAAGGGCCAAGGGCCATGGATCAAGATCAGTGGTATAGTTATCAAACATGGTGAGTGAGGATGCTACACTTTCCGACGACAGGCTTTCGCCCTGCACAGGACAAATGCTACGAATCATTGAAATTTTCCAAAAGGGAGCTAGAGCCGTATCACCAAACATGGTACTGCGATGGAGCCCCGATGAGATTAAGCACCGACCAGGAAACATGACACTGAATGCAAATCATCGGCATCAACATAGTACAGAGCCACTTGGTTAATTACCAGCACATATGTACCAGTAATATGTAGAGCCTAGAGCATTAGAGCTCCCCATGGATTGGTTGGTATCTAGTACCAACAACTGCACTGATCCTGCCGTGCGTGTGTACTGCTGCTACCGAAAATGTTTGATGTGCGTCGCCGTGGAATGCAATCGCGAAGTGAAATTTTAAGGTGAAAATTGGGTGGGAGTATGCAGAGCAGGTGACGCACCGGTGTCCTCGTCGGAGCGGCGCCAGCCCTCGCAGCGGAGCGCGGGGCCCCACTGGCCGCGGAAGCGGGTGTTGAGCTCGACGACGGGGCGGCCGCTCCAGTCGCCCCGGAGGCGCGGGTTGAGGTGGAGGATGGTGGTGGCGGCGTCCCCGTCCCCCGCGCCCCGCAGCTCCACCGCGAACTGCGCCAGGCCGCCTCCGGGCACCCGCCGCGGCCTGCCCACCACCGTGACGTGGGAGCCCAGCGCCAGCCCGCACGGCAGGGCGAGGGCGCGGGGCGCGTCGCCGGCCCGCGCGACGGAGGGCGGGCACCGCGGCGGCGCGGGGGACGGGGAGGGCGTCGCCGCGGAGGACGAGGCGGGGGCGGAGAGGGCGTCGCGGAGGAGGCGCGCGCCCTCGCGGAACGCCCGGGCGGCCGCCGCGTGGAGCGGCGCGGCGGCGTCGAGCGCGCGGACGTCGATCCGGGAGACGTCCAGGCGGAGGAGCGGGGAGGGGAGCCGTTGCCGCGTCCTCTCGGCGTGGGTGGCCTCGGCGGCGGTGAGGGCGACGGAGACGGTGGTGGGGCCGAGGGGGCGGCCGGGGTAGCGGAGGGAGAGGGCGGCGGCGTAGAGGAGCGCGGCGACGGGAAGCAGCAGCAGCAGGGGCCGGAGCCCGGCGGCGGGGCGGCGCGGCCGGCGCATGTCTCGTCTCCGGTGGGACGCTGCTGGCCGGCCGGCTGCCCGCGTCGCGTGGTGCGGCTTCTTCGTCGGTTACGTTTGGAGCTTGCTCCGAGGAGGGAAAGGTTGGAACTTTCCCCGGGGTTTAAGACGGCAGGAGATTATTATGAGATACTCCCTCTGTAAACTAATATAAGAGCGTTTAGATCACTAAAATAGTGATCTAAACACTCTTATATTAGTTTACAGAGGGAGTACCCATTTCCTTCCCCGGCTTGCCCGCCGATGATACGGCGTGGCGTGCGGCGTTTCTTTGGAGATTGTTAATGGCGCCGTTAATTGCCGCTGCTCCGGCGATCGCTTGCCTTGTGTGTGTGCATGCACTCAAAAATTGTTGCTTTTGCTTACAGTGCTAAGCATACATCGTACACTTGTGTGACACATTGAAGACTGGGGTACGTAGTGTGGTTGATTGCACACAATTTCGGCAGTTATGTCCCATAAAGCAATCTTTCACGAAAGTGTAGTTGCAATCGTGAGCACAAGGCAACTTGGGCACAGGATCTAGTCAGCACCAACGCCCCAGCTTTCTGCCCTCTGTTCCCCAGCATATCTGAAGCATGCAGCTAGCCAGGCTTAAGTTTGGCAGCGAAATGGACTATGACAGTTCCGTTTATTTTCTACCCCCTCGGTGTACAAATGTACTCCCTCCGTTCCAAAATAGATGACCCAACTTTGTACTAAAGTTAGTATAAAGTTGAGTCATCTATTTTGGAACGGAGGGAGTAAGTCTTTTTGCCGTTTAATCCTGCGCTACAAGGGTCAGGCACGTTTTGCTGCGTCGTTGGCTCCTACGCTAGAAGGGTTAGACGCGTTTTGCTGCGTCGTTGGTGCTGTTG